AAAAAAAAGCATGACTGTGCCAGAGTGCTTCGTCGGACTTTCGCCGATTTATCAGGAGGTTGAACCGCGACGGTCTGCCCAGGATGCATTTGACTGATGTGGGGATAAGGACTCACGACGTCGCCCAGAGTTAGTGATGCCCCTGAGAAAAGTGGTCGACTTTACTCATACCAATGGACACCCAGAACGGTGTGTGCAAGTGAGAAAAGTGCATGCTGCGCATGCCAGGGATTGCACCTATGTGCTGCATCCTGTTCAAGACCATCGCAATTTTATTTTTCTCTGAGCCATGCTTATCTGCATCCTGATCTGCTCCTTTGAAAAGTCACAGTGTGCCTTTTTGTGGACACACCAGTTGAGAAGAACCCCCCCCCCCCTCATCTCCTCCCCAGTTTCGAGGAGGGTCCTTAATAATAGCACCCTTGGCAACAGTGCCCTCACCCACACTGCCTTCACCACAATCGTCACCAGCCAGCGCGTCCTCTGCCAAGCCGCTGTCAACCATCCCTTGCCTCTGCCCCCCTTCTCACCACAAGATAGGCTTCCGCTTTCCTTGTTCTTTGGGTCCCGAACCCTGCAGTGCTGAGCTCATTTTCCTGCTTCGTTTCTGTGAAATTTCATCCTCTTTACTGAAGTTTATTGTGGTTTTAACTTTCAAGTTCTGACCTCTTAGGGCATCGCCACACCACTCGAAATGTGAAAAAGACAAAAATGTGGCGCACGCATTTGGCCATGTTCTAGCGGCAAGTTCATTCTCATTTTGCACATTTCCAGAGTGGTGTGCCGATGCCCTTAGTTTTCAATTTCAAGTTTCGACCCAAGGAAACGAGAAGAAAAAGCGAATTGTGCATGGAAAAGACTCAACAGGGTCTTGACCAGACAAACAGGTTATAACTTATAACTTATAACTTATAAACAGACAGTGTCCGACACAGCGTACCCTGGGATGACATAGCATACAGCTACCATATTACGCAGACAGGGAGATTGTGGTCTGTGTGTCGAAGTTAGTCAAACTACAATTTAATGGTAATGGTGAAGGACACACCTCATCTTCTTATTCTTGTTCAAATGTGTACTGCACATCTGTGTAGCACACCGAATGTGTCCGGAGCGTTCGCGAACACCCGAACATGTTCGGGTGTTTGACCGAACGCCTCCCAAACGTGTTCGGTCATATATTAAAGATTTTTTTATTTTATTTTTTTTAAGTTCTTGATTTTTAACTCGAGTTTGGCTAAGAATTTGAACATGCCTCCCAGGCAAACGTTGTTTGCATTATTATTTTACAAAACATATGTATGTTCTTTCCAGATTTTTTTTCTCACTTTTTTTTTTTTTTAATGTTCACGTTTGGAGGGTTTTGGCGCTCGTTCGCGTTCGGGCGCAAACGTTCGGAGTCGGTCACCGAACGGTACTTACCACATGGAGTATTGGATAGGCAAAATCTCTGGACTTCAATATCCAGAGACTTTAGGAGCTTTGGCCTTTATTTAGGTCAAAAAATGAAATGCATTTTAGGAATAATTTATTTGGTGTGAAATTGTGAATTTGATTTTCTACCAATTGGATGGTACAGTACTACAGAACATACCTCATCTTCTGGTATTTTTTGAAACGGTACTCCACATACGGAAGAACAACCTCCAGGACATTCTCCACCAGCTGCAAGGCAAATTCCAATAAATGCAAAAGATTCAAATCTAAGTGGGGTCTTTCGGGACATCCGTTAAAATTGGTACTATACAGAGAAGATCAGCATGGCCCCTGCGCAAAAAAAACACGCATAAATCGAGAAATGGCCCATATTTCTCAAAGAAAAAGAGGATGGTAAGCTCTGTCTCTTATACACATCTAGATGTGTATAAGAGACAGGGTCTGCACCGTTCAGTATGCAACACGACCCTACCTGTCGCCTGGCAAAGGACCCTTTCACACTCTNAAAAAAGGAAGGTAAAAAAAAAGAAAAAAAAGGAAGGTAAAAAAAAAAAAGAAAAAAAAGGAAGGAATTTTAAGGAAGCTTGGGAAGGTAAAAAAATAAAAATAAAAAAAATCTAGTCTATGAAACGGTATTCAGTACTATTCACCTGTTCGCAGTAGCGAATGCAGATCCCAGGGCTCGATCCCTAGTTCTTACCTTGCCCGTGTACAGTATCTGTGTCGACCCCGAGAGTTGAACACGTGACCTGTGTATTCACAACAGTTGGTAGGCTGTCGTAGGTCCGTAGGTTGGTAGGGGTTCGATCTGTAGACCTATTGGATAGAGGTCTTAGTGAGGCCTAGAGGTCGTAGCTGTAGGTGTCCTGAGAAGTCAAGGTCGTAACTGCGACAGTCCTGAAAGGTCAAGGTCGTAGCTGCTACAGGGTTCGAAAGGCCAAGTCTCCAGCCTTCCGGAAGGTCCCAGTAGTGGCATTTCGCAGTCGCTCACGTTTAGACCGAGGCAAGTGGGCAAGTGGTGAGCCCAACTGCGGTACATCGGCGGTGAGACTGCATCGAGTTGGCAGTGCAAACCCATGCAGTCAGCGGTCAGTCACAGTCCAGTCAAGCAAGTACTGTATGGGACTGTGTGCACCAGGGGCATGGGAAAGGGGCAGACCAACGAGCTACAGAAGTATAAATCAAGAGGCCGCGCCCAGCCATTCCTTCATTCCTGCGTAAGCCATGTGGAAGCGCTGCCATAGCGACTTGTGCGAGGTGGTCTGCAGTGAGCCAGAAGACGAAGTGGGCGAGAAGGAGAGCTTAGCCATAGCGATAGGGATAGCAGCGGCCATAGCCGCCATAGCTGATAGGAGAGTGTAGCATGTGTGTGTACGTGGGTGTACAGTGTGACGCGTGTGGGATATCCAGGGTGATCCCGTGTGTGTGGACAGAGAGTTATACAGGCGCTGTTGCACCATAGCCGTTCGAAGTGAGCTTGTATCTGAACTGCGTTCTTGGTTACCATATCTCTGAGTTCTGAGTGGGCGCTTGTCGCCAGTTTGCTGCGCAACCTGTTTACATGCATGTGAAGTGTGAAAGATAGCGAGTCTGATTGCATCTAAGTGGATGCAAAGATCAAACTTCACAAAGAGCAGTGGAACCACAGAACCGGTGCTCGTAACCACCATCGTTTTGTAATTGTAAATCTCCTCTTTTTTTTTCTTTTTTCTTTTTTTTTTGAAATTGTAAATCTAGATGTCTTTTTTTTAATAAATCTTCACCAGTGCTGATTGATGACATGATAGAACAGAATGTCTATTGACTAGAGTGCTCGTACTGTACCCCACCCTCTGCAGGAGTGAATGTTAGGTTGCACTCAAACGCACAACACATGGATCCACTTTACGATGCAGCCTCGTAGTCATTGTGACTACCATCTTCACCCGCATAGAACGTACAGTAATTATCGCTGTATCTAGACTGGAAGTTGGCCCGAATGCAGGCATATTTAGTATCTACCGTACATTCTATTCTACAGTAAGTAATTATCGCCATATCTAGACTGAAAGTTGGCCCGAATGCAGGTGTATTAAGCGTACATTCTATTCAGGTGAAGACGGTGGAAAGCAACTCTGGTAGGAGGCAAGAGCGAAACGCCACGCGTAGAAACACAGAGAACAGACGATGACGCCAACCAACATGCCAGACCTGATGTCCAAAAATGGGACTGCACAGATCAAGAGAAGTTGATCGAGCGGTTTAGCTTCCGTGCATGCACATCGTCCACAACTACCATCTTCGCCCAAATAGACATATGGTCATTATCGCTGTACCTAGACTGAATACTGCACCACACACAGCGATAATGACCAGGCATTCTATTCGGGCGAAGACGGTAACTGAGAGACCGACCTCGCACACATCCGCACACTGTTGAAAATCTTTTTTTTTTTTTTTTGACTCTGCAATGGTTAGATTTGGAGGATGCACCAAAGGCTTTACGTCAAGACAAGTCACAGTCTTTTTCCGGCATAAAGGGAAAAAGTATGGGTAATTCCTTCACTGTGAGACTTCCACCGACCCCACCACCCTGCTCGCCCCCACTGACGGAAAACGAACTGGCCTTAGGGCACACATTCGGTCATTATCTGTGTATCTAGACTGAGAGTCACCCCGAATACAGCTATATAATGACCGTACGCCGTATGTTCTATTTGGGCGAAGACGGTAGCCCATGATTACAAGGGTGCTGCGCTCCGTCCTCTCTTCTGATCCTTAAGTATGCCATCACTATCTTCCACCTAACACAAATCACACTCATCGTGACTGTCACAGACTGGAATGATTAGCTTGTACCCATCCACGAGTAGGGTGCGATGTTGTGTTTACGAGAAGCCAGTATCTATCCCTCTCCCTGCTCTGCTGCTCCAATCTGGAGAGAGGCCCCCCGTCCAGATCCCGCCAACATCACGGCACACCATGCTTTGCGTTGATACCAGCAAACAGATATCCAGTTATGCAGGGCAAAACCTCCTGCGTCATGTATCCGAACAGGGCTTGCCTGTTTTCCTCGTGCCTCTCCCAATTTTGCTCACTGTATCAACTAAACTACAGATCTAATATACGATCTTGCTAACCACTGTTGCTGTCCCCCTATCTATCCATTCCTTCCATTGCTACGACGTCACGTCTTCTTCTCTTCTTCATTCGTCCAATCATCTCTCTACTTCAGTAAGTTGTGCATCAAAAGAAGTGAAATTGACAATTCCTTCAATTCCAGACATAGACGACAAAAAAAAGGATAGACAATTCACAAAGGACAGAAAAAAAGGATAGACAATTCACAAACCGAGACGATTGCCAGGCATCAAGAAAAAGAAAAAAACTGCAGCTTCCACCATTGTAAAATGTTTTGGCTACAAGGCTTTGAGCACAAGACACAATGCTTTTTTTTTTTTTTCTGTCCTTTCAGTCAGCTGCATGTTAGAGAGCAGAGTCGACGGAGATGGAATGACGGACCCCGCAGCGCCCGTGGCGCACTTCGGGTTCACCAGCTGAGATAGTTGGCTTCCCCCCCCTGGTTGATCTTGGTAGGGGGCCCTCCCTTCCATCCTTCACCAGGGGTTAGGCTGAGACAAAGAAGGAGAAGGCCACTTTCTTACCTCTAACCTCGAATACAATGTACGGTCATTAAAATACTCGTTATAACTGTATTTGGGGTATCTTTCAGTCTAAATGCAGCTGTAATGACCATACGTTGTATTCGGGGAAAGAAGGTAGTATAGAAAAAGCTTGTGGACTGACAATGCCTGCTAGGTAGCGTGAGGTATATTAAGAGAAGAAAGAATATAGCTGAGTTTTTTTTTAATTAAAAAAAAAAGAGATGGAATGACTGAGCATACCTGTGACAAAATCAGCCGAGTCTGGATCTCATTTCGAAGAAGACCGAAGTTCCGCCAATACAGAGCGTAGAAAAATAGTCCAATATAATTTTGCATAAAATGTATGAGAAATACCTGAATAGAATCGGCATCCAGAATCACAAACAACACACCAGAAGCCGCATACGTCCATGTCAAGCAAATCCAACTATATAAGCAGACTGAGCTTCTACTGACAAACAGCATGGTGACGTAAAAGTTTAAAGTCTAAATAAACCACCAGTACCTCCCAAACTCACAGTGGTATACCACGCAGTCTGTACGGGACTGCCTTCACCAGGTTAAAGTCATTCATGATGAACCATTGTGGTCTTGCAGTGATATAGCGAGGAAAGGGACTGGTGATTTTGAGTCCTTAAACGACTAGTACCTTTGCCGAGTGGGAAAATAGCGGGCCTCAGGTGGGCCTCCAACCTTTTAGGAAGTCCGAAATGAACCGACAGCTGCCGATGAGTTTTTATCAATGTCAGCCGTTATCGGGCCCGGCCTCCGATTTTTTAGGAGTTTGGGAAAACTGCCAGTTTTCCCTATTTTTCCAACACTGGCGGAGGTACTAGTGCTTCAACACAATGAATGACGATTAAAATCGTTGAATCAGATCGATGAGCACTTCAAGGTCATTGATACTCGCCCTTCTCGCGACGATCGGGTAGAGTATCTGTTCTGAATCTTTTGATCAGTTCAAACATCTGACAAAGAAAAGAACTCAAAAAAAAAAAAACAGAGTTACAAAGGGAAAAAAGATCATTGATGTGGCAAACGTCATGATCGATGTCCTTCTGTACATCCGGTAAAACCGGAACGATACAGAGAATGAAGATTAGCATGGGCTCCGCGCAAGGATGACACACAGAAATTGAGGAGGGTAGAGCGTTCAAAGCTGCATCTTTCTTTCGACATGACCCATAACGCTGCCTTCCTGATCATACCAAACCACAACCTTTCGGGCTTTCGAAGATCGGACAGGATGTCAGTGCAAAGGAGAAGTTGGTGGGGATGTTCTTGGGAAGAGGAGGAGGAGGAGAACAGGGAATCCCAGAGGTCACTCGCTAGCTCTCACGCGGCGTTCTGTAGCTTCTCTACAGTTGATCAGCCAGTGAAGGATGTCTACCCCCTCGCTCTTGGTCTGGGCTCTGGACAGACGCTGCACATATCGGCGCTGTTTCGGTCGTTCTTTTTTCTTCGCCATTGGATGCGTAACCCTTCATTGACTTTCATTGACTGGAAGGGCTATGTACATGATCAGCCATTGGAGGATCCTGCATTTTCTTTTTTCTTTCCTTTTGTTCTGGTCATCTGGTTCCATCATCAGGATTCGAACTCCGGTCTGTGTCTCAACAGTTCACGGGTGTACCAACTGAGCTATAGGACCGCTGGTTCCCGATTTTGAGGGGCGGTACGGACTTGGGCGGTATGATGGACCTGAATCTATGACATGGAACTCTTAATGTCTGCCAGGAGTCCTCACCCAGAGTCCTTTTCCATCTGTGGTTTATTGCCAGTTCTGGATTACTTTGTTTTCAACAGCATTGAGTGGCCTTCGTCTTCTTCTTCTTTTTTCTTTCTTTCTTGAAAACCTGGGCTGGGCCTGCTAGCAGGAGTGACATGACCATATCTCCTTCTAGTGTGTCCATCCCTAGATGCTCCGATCTATTGCTGGGGAGCGGCACCTGCTGGAAACCGGTTCCAGTGTCAGCATTGAGTGGCCTTCTTCTTCTTTTCTTCCCCTTTCTTTCTTGAAAACCTGGGCAGGGCCTGCTAGCAGGAGTGATATCAGCATATCTCCTTCTAGTGTGTCCATCCCTAGATGCTCCGGTCTATTGCTGGGGAGCGGCACCTGCTGGAAACCGGTTCCAGTGTCCCAGTGGCCTAGTTTTACTGTGTATATACTATATACTATATAGTAATAAATCGAGAATCGGTATTGGTGAGACCTCTTTTTTCCTTCCTGATACCAGACGCCACACGCATTCAGCCGGGTCCAATACTCGCAAAAAAAAAATCAATTGCCAAAGTTCAAAGCTCAAACATGGCTATCTTCTCTTTTTGGTCGGCGACCACCCAAATACAAAGGCCCTTTAGCCCAAATTTCCCTTATGTTGTACTAAATTCCTCACAAAGGCTGTCACTACCGCCTTCCCCCGAACACAAAGCACCCCCATTATGGCTGCGCTGAACCCAAAAATTAGCTTGTATACATATTCATTATCGGGCTGCATTGCCTTCGGGGGAAGGCCGTACGTATCCTGGGACTTTAATACCGCTTCTTTTGATCCTGCAGGCGTCGCTTGTTGCTCATACTCACATGCTGGAGGACCTTCAAAGTGCCAGGCAGAGGTAAAGAGTCGCACACAAGGGCGGCCATATCAGTGTACAGGAAGGGAGGTATCAGTGTAGAGGAAGGGAGGTTGCTACCTCCATAGCTAGCGAGCGTAATAGACAAGTGAAAGAGAGCGCGGGACTGAGAGGACAGGAGATGAGAGGTAAGATCAGGCAGGCATGTCCGGGTATTGTGGTTACCTGGTGACTAGATACACTGCCCCTCGTCATTGTCGGCGACTATCTTGACGTGCACGGTTGCCACTACCGTCGTCACCCGAAAAGAATGCCCGGTCATTATCGTTGTACGAAGACTGAAACTTGCACTACATAGAGAGCTATAATGACCGGGCGCTCACTTCAAGTGAAGACGGTAGTCATGTCCAAGCCTGTTTCTATCGGCGCCTGCTTGCCTTGACGGCGTAGCACCGAGGAAGTCTGCTTCGTGAGAGACATTCTCAAATTGAAGTGACAAGAGAGGAACAGTGTTGATCGCTGGCTTCACAGTGACCTGTTGGCGAAAGGGAGGAGGTGAGAGGAGGTGAGAGCGTTCCTCGGGTTGAAGAGGGAGGAGAAACGGCTTTGTAAATTGTTTGTTTAATACGTTTACTAAGACGATTATTAATATAATCTCCTTCTTTGTCGTCATTTTCCCTCACCATCTTCATTCTGTCTGCTAAGTTATCTGAGGAGGTGTGGAATTCATGCCATCTGTTGCGCAGAGGTAAGCACTGCGAGTTGAGTCCAAGATCATTCAAAAAGAAAAAGAAAAAACGAGTTCACTGCCGACAAAGACAATTGTTCGCGAACAGCCGATGGAGACAATTGTTTGGGAAAGAAAAGCGAGAGGAACGGGAAAAACGTTTGTAACCGACCTTGAATACCAAACTGTCTGCTTCAGCTTCTTTAGTGGGATGGCTGATGCTCTTGTTCACGACAACAGCAGCTCGACCACCAATAGTAGTTAGCTGTCTGATAATGCCAATGTAACACAGAGTCCACCCCAACCTGGGAAGACGTCATCACGAAAAACCGCAGCAGAATTGTGGGTCAAAAGCATGGTCCAGATGTCAGAACATCGTCAACTCCCAGTCTCCCACACCACATGCAACACCTCCTCAGCTTTCATTCTCAGTACTTTTACACCCCCCCCCCCCCCCCCCCCCCCCCCCCCCCCCCCCCCCCCCTCACACACACACACACACACATGTCAGGGTTCAACCTCCTGAAGAGTCGGTGAAAGTCCGATGAAACAGTCTGGCACAGACATGCTCTTTTTTTTTTTCCGGGGAGTTGTGTGTACAGCAAACATGACAACACACCCCCAACACAGACCCCATCGCTGAACACATCCGAATACATTCAGTGCTCAACACCAGAGCATCAATTAGAGCATCGTAGGAGTCAGAAATAGACTTTACATAACAAACTACACCACCCACAAGACATGTACTGTACAGAAATAGAAAATGAGCACGTCTCGTGCCATCCCACTACCGGCCTCCTTACACCATCACTACCTTCTACGGCCGCTCCGGTTACACCGGTGGCCTGCTCTTTTCCTGGTCATCCATTGGATTGCAATTCAAACAAATGTGACAAGCTTTTACTTGCTGTCCGGAGGGGTTTGCGAGGTTCTGGTTGTGGCGGTTCGAATTCTGCAATTCCACAATCCGTGTTCTACCGCCAGCACTTCCAAGCTTCTTTTTCCCGACGTCGATCTCTGCCGCACACTGAGTTTTTGTCAAACCGGCGTGTGCATGAAATCAAAACAAATTTGGCTGGTGCCGCCAGCCATTTCGTCTCAGCAGGCTTAGGCCCGAAAGACAAGGCGCATTAATGGCCTCCTTTGAACAAAATGGCCGGGAAAGATGCTTGTGCTTTTTCAAGTCCTGGCAGCATACCATTGGTATTGTCGGAATATACTGCCTCTCTTCCCAAAGAACTACATCCTCTCCCCTCAGAAAGGAACACAGGTGGCAACGACCTTCAAGGACAAGAGAAATTCATCTCAGAGCTTGCTCCAAGTTTCACCTCACCATAGCAAAACAACTTCTCCCTTTAGAAGTTTAGAACATATTCAGACTAGGACTAGACCAGGACTACCTCGACCGAATCTGGACTTAACTGCAGCCAGAGTCGGTCAAAAAAGTCCCTAGTGTGTATATGCCCTAAGAAGTGTGTCACTCAGCTGCACAGCATTGTTGAAGTGTTCCATAGCTTCCAAACCCGTTAAAAACTATTTCTTCCCACGCTATGTGACCTCACAAGCGGGGACAAGTCTCAAGCGCGGCAGGACTTTCCCATCATAGGCAGCACGGACACAGCTCTGATAACCCCCCAATGGAGAGAAGCATTTGCAAGGGGGCGATTGTGACGGGGCAACGCTCCCAAGGACGACAGATGAACTGGGGCAGGGGAAGCAAGTGGAGGTCTTCATGAGTGAGAAAGGAATGGTGGGGGGGTTGCGGAGCGAAGAGAAGAATGGTACAGGTGTGCTAAAGGATCGGCCACAGTGTACAGGTGTGCTAAAGGATTTTGGGCAAAAGGGCAGGCCAATACGGGTAAGGAAATAGCAGGGCAGGGACATGCAACCCTTGTTCCCTGCAGCCTGACCCCCTCAGGATGAATACCACCCACCCCTCCAAGGTGGCGCACAGCAAGCAGACCTGGGGTCACCCTTCCATCCTGGAGCTGGGCCCAAGATGTTCCGAGACAGCCTACCCAAAGGCAGCCCAGCCTTACAAAAGCTGGAATGAGCCCAGCAGCGGCTCATGTGGCACCTGTCGAGGTGGCGACTACCGTCTTTCCGAATAGAACGCCGGGTCATTATAGCTGTATTTGGTGCAACTTTCAGTCTAGATACAGTGATAATGACCGGGCGTTCTACTCGGGCGAAGACGGTAGAGTGGGAACGAATGGACACAAAACTTCTAATTGGTCAGAGGCGAGAGGAAATGCTTCAAAAAACTGTTAGTACCGCACTCCCAACAAGATTAAACCACCAGTACACCAAATTAAAATGAATGACCTTTCGTTCAAAGGCCGACGGCCTTACGATACCATTCGATGAACCCAGGTAATTCAGAGCGGTTTTACTTTGGTCAACTGGTTGCATCTGGATGCGAACTTGGGTCTGATTCATATTTCAACAGTTCGTGGGTGTGTAGTACTTCGTACCAACTGCGCTAGGCTCTTGGTAGTACACCGATGACCTAAAAAATTCCTGCCCGAACTTTCACAGGCCAGGGATAGGTGCCATATAAGGTGCATTGAGAGGACGCGTAGAGGCCTGGCACGGGTCCATTTGTGGCCTCGACGAACCCCACTGATCATCATCCCGATCCCGGCCTCCCTTGCTGCCCACAACCTGGCGCAGTGGGTGAGGTTTGCAAGCACAGCTATCCAAAGGAAAGGGGTGACACAGAGAAAGGAACCCCCCCCAGGATTTGAACCTGTGACCTTACAGCTTGACAACTTCGAAACAGGAAGTCTGACCAAAGCAGATATGCTGACTCAGACTAAATCCTGGCATCGAATCGGCGAACTCTCACTCAGCCCCATAGTCAAGAGTGTTGAAGATGGATGTTGATGACTCAGACCATGCGGCTGAGTGAGTGAGACTCTGAGAGTTTCGCCGATTTGATGCCAGGATACAGGACCGTGATGCTGGTCAGCATAAATAGGGGGCAAGAACTAGCAAAACTCTCGAGTGTCAGGCGAAAGGACAGAGATAACAGTCAGCTGCCAGTGTAAATTGACGGCAAGTTTTTGTTGAAGTTGATGTTGATGACTCAGACTATGGGGCTGAGTGAGAGTTTGCCAATTTGGTGCCAGGATAGAGGACCGCTATGCTGGTCAGCATAAATAGGGGGCAAGAACTAGCAGAAGTCTCGAGTGTCAAAAAAAAAAAAAAAAAAAAAAAGACTCTCGAGTGTCGGGCGAAAGGACAGAGATAACAGGCAGCTGCCAGCATAAATTGAAGGCAAGTTTTAGCACCCACTGACCCCTACAGTAGAGGAGACCACTTAGACACTGAAAGTGCTTCCACTGACCGTTCCAGTACGGCACAGCGGCACAGAGTTATGAATAGTCATGCATGCAACGATTAGGGCATACTCACACTAGTATGTATTGGACCGCATTCAGGGCATACTCACACTAGTACTATCTTAAATGTATCGAACCGCATTTACAGCCGAACATGGATGCATCTGGCCGTAATTTCCTCCAGGGAAAAAAAAACAAAACAAAAAAATTTAAAAAAGTGTTGTCGCAACTTGCCGGTAGTGTGAGTATGCCCTTTATGTGTGTGTAGCACATACACTGTGTACCATTCAGCCACACGGCAGATGCACTGAGGTGTCAGTCCCCTTCCTTACTTGAGGAACTTGTACGGCAGTATGCTGTCGATATACAGAGAGAGCAGCTCCCATGGCATATGAACACACATGACGCCAAAGATTGTGATGAGGTTGTTCTTGGCTTCGTTGAGACGTGCTCGCCACTCATCTTCCCAGAGTGCCTTCTTCAGCCGCTTCTCAAGCTCACGCAAATCTTCCTGATAAGAACAGTAGATGCTACCTTCACCGGTGTCCAGCGACATATCGCTCTCCCATGGCCTGTGCAGTTCGTCCTCCTCCAACTTCAGATCCCACCTGGATGTTATGGTCAAAGAAGTCCCATGCAAACAGTTCCCCAAGTTCCAACCATTGCACAGTGAAAAAAAAGAAAAAAAAAGTGTATCAGACTGTATCCAACATTTTTTCTGTAAGAAGTACAAAGAACACTGAAAAAAATCAAACACTAAATACTAGATCCATCGTCAATAAACACGCGTAGAAACCATGGTAACCCCGGACCCGGACACCGGACACTTCCGGACTGTCTTCCGGACCAGTGTCTGGACCGATCCGAACTGTCCAGTGATCCGGACATCACCGGACACCGGACAGTCCGGACCGGTCCCCGGGGTGCAAAAATGTCCGGACCCAACCAAAAAAAAAAAAAAAAAAAAAAAAAACCGGGGGTGGGGAGGAGGTTGGGTGGGGGTGTTGGCAGGCACTTACCTGCTTTGCACTCTGTAGTTCAGGCAGCAGAGCACGTGTCTTGCAGCAAATCAACCAGCACATTTAACTAGCAGACATGCAGAGT